TCCCCAAAGGAAGGTCACAGACATGGGGAGCAGGGGATGGCAGGGCCGGAGGACTCACTCTCCCTTGAGGTCACTGGTGACCCCATCCAGACCCATGATCAAGTATTCTTTGTTAGGCTCCAGGCGGAGGCGGCAAGAGGCCCGGACCAGGAAGTTGCGGGTCTGACCTACAGAAGCCTTGGCATCCTTGCCTGGGGGAATAAGATGAAGACATCAGAGAAAGGAAGGCCAGGAGCCCTGGGCAGGGCTCTGTGGAGATCCTGCCATTTAACCCTCTCTGCTCCTGATGGAAGTCCAGGTTCCCAGAGACCAGGAGATGGGAGGTGAGAGGATGGGGGTTCGCATTCGAATTATTCCCAATTTGGGGTTTTCCCAATTCTAAGAGGTCCCACACCCAGATCTCAGCCTCCACGACTCCCCAGTCCACCCGCCTCTCCTCCCTACTGAAATGCAGGACTTGGGTGATCTGGGTCTCAAAGAGGCGGAAGGCAGCTCTGCCATCTTCTCGGAGAACCTTAACCTGGAAGCCTGGGACGGGAAGGGAAAAGGCAGGGAAGTTGCAGCGACACAAAGAGGCCACAGGAGGGCTTGGGGGAAAAGCAGGCAACCTGGGGAGAACAAGGTGCTGGTGCCAAGCAGGATGGAGGCAGAGGGGGGCACTAACCTTACTCCACTCGGGGGTAATAGCAGGCAAACTTCATCCTGTAGCCATCCTTGTCCTGCTCCCCTCGCTCCAGAGAGCGGCGCTGTTTAGGGCACTTCCCTGAGGGCAAGTGTCAGGTGAGACCAGCTGGGCGCCCCCATTTCCCAGCCCCGGCGCCCAGGCCTCATCTCACCCTCGGCACACTGGCAGACATCGGCAGAGCACAAGGTGGACAGGAGCTTGCTCTTACTCGGTGCGGCATAAAACACAGAGCACTTGTGGTCTAGAGAAGAGCAGCCAGGAGTGAGGGCCTCTCCTCTCTGTCTCAGCATCTCAGGAGACAGGGTCTCCCCACACCGTGGTACCCCTGGGAGGGGTCAGGCCCCCTGATCCTGCATGCCAGAGCATCCCAAGTGCTCACCGGGGCTGTAGTAGTCATACAGGACAGCGCTGGCCGGCTGCACCAGCCCCACGGCCACCTCCTGCAGGGCTCCAAAGCCCACACACTCCCGGGTGGTCGGGACCTGGCACCAGGAAGAAGGCTGCTCAGGGCCAGGCCGCTGCCTGCCTTGCTTCTGCTTGGTCACCGTGACCTTATCCCCAGCACCCATCCCTCATGTTCTGTCATCTTCCTGACACTAGACTCGAAAAATGGGTCCCCAAGGCCTCTGATGACTTCACTGCCACCATGGTGACCTTGTCCCAGTCTTCGGTGCCCGAGGCCCTCTGCGGAGTCTCACTATAGGCACACATTCCCTGTGAGACCCTCCACGCGGGTTCGCTTCCCACCCCACTTGTCTCACCTGGCACCTCTCCTTCCCCAGGAACGCAGGCGTGGGGAGCCCTGCTCCCGCACCAGTGTCCACGGTGGCTCCCACCTCTCCGTGGCTCCCCATAAAGCCTTGAAGGCTGATGACTGCCCAGCTGAACTCACAGCCCCATCCTGGCATTGAGGTGAGGCAGGACAGGTGAGCTCTCCAAGGCTCTCTGCCTCCCAGCCACGTCTCCACCTCTTCCCTCACCAGGTGCCCACACCTCCGACCCTGATGAGGCAGGATGGAGACACAGCTGCTTCCCCTGCGCCTCTCCACACTCACCGAGTCGAAGTACAGCAGGACATGGGGCCCATCGGTCTCAAAGTGACTCACGTACCGGTCAGAGAGGGACGTCAGCTGCAGGGGAGGGGGACAGTCACAGGGCATGGCAGTGACGGGGCTCAGCACCTGGGGTGCTACAGAGATGGAGCAGGGCTCCCGAGGACAGAGGGTGACTGTGGGGGGCTGACCGTACCTTCTCCAGGTCGGCCCTCAGGGCGTGGAATCCACTCAGGAGGGTGATGTCTGCGATCGCCATGCCAGACAACCCCACCTTGCCCTTGCGCCTACAGGGAGGGGGGCGGGCTGTACAGGCTCCACCTGAACCACACACTGGGCACGCCCCGCCACCCCCCCCCACCGCATAAGCAGGAAGCAGGCAGCACCCACCAGATGCACACAGTGTACTGCACTCTGGACTCCTGCTCCTCGGCCACCTTGGGAGCCTCCCTTCTGCGGCGGCTCCTTCGACCCTCAAACAGCTGCAGGGGCGTCACAGGCTGAGAGTTGGCACTCGGATCATCCGCAGCTGGCATCTCATCCTTGTAGTCTTCATAGTCCTCGTAGGCTTCCCCTGTGCAGGGCCGTGGTGAGGGGTCTCAGCCGTGTCAGCCCTGCAGGGCTCAGGACTCCCGACCCACACTCACGGGTGTATTCCAC